AGGGACCTGAGAAATGTGAGGGAGGGAGCGCTGCATGTAGCTGGGGAATCGTATGTTCCAGGCAAAAGGAATGGTAAGCACAAAGTTCCTGAGGCTGGAAGGAAATAGGGAGAGGGAGAGGATGTCAGCCAGAGGAAGGGAGGTGAGAAGGGATTCTTTAAGGCCCCATGAGCCTTGGAGGGTTCTGAGCATCAGTGATGAGATCTGAATTATGTTTAGAAACATCCCTCTGCTATTTTATATAAAACTATATATATATAGCTATGTATATAAAACTGCTATTTTGGGAACAGACTACAACAGACAAGGTCAAGGCAGAGAATTAGGGGAGAAATGCTATCGGCTGGGAGGGCGCTGCAGTAACGGTGATGGTAGAAGCAGCTAGATTCTAGACACAAGAGTGTTTGTTAACAGACCAATCAGGGCACACGAGGAGAGTGTCCACGGCCTCAGCAACTGGAAGGATGTGGCTGGAAGGTCTGATGTGGACTCACGTTTAGGATCCTATCAGACATTTACTCCATAGGGGAGAAAGGTCTGTAAAATTGAGCTCAGATCTTGTTAAAGAGGTAGAGGGACTAGGCAAGCTTATTTACTCTTCAAGCAGAGGGCATGGCTGAAGAAAAGACAAGAGGAGCTATAAGGATGTCTTTTATAGACGTGCCATCTTTTATCTAAACAAGAAAACGCACCATCATTTTCACTGTCTCGGGTACTGTGAAAATATTTTGCATTTATTTGAAACCTTAACTCTAGTAAAATAAGATTTGATGTTAAATGTTATTGACTCTCAAAACACCCACTTGAAGTAAGAAAAGATGTCAGAGAACCCTTTTATGAAGTGGAGGAACAAGGAAGTAAGATGACTTTCAGAGTCAGGCAAGGTCCCACATGGGAAAGCTGGTCCTCGGTGGACAGGACATGAATTGATGAATTCCACCTGCCTGGATTCAATGTTTGGTCAAGTGAATTTTTCAGAATCATTGGACTGTAAGTATCATATAAGCCCAGGAATTAAGAACAGACTCCAGAATCTCAAATAAATAGTCCTAGGCAAGGTCTGTACTAGAAAACCTCTTAAAACTTCTCTATATCACTGGTCAGACCAAGACTTGTCAGATGGCATAAAACAAGCACAACATTCTGACCACCCAGAGAATGGCTAATTCTCACAGTCAATAAGCTATTTTTCAGCATTTTGTAAGTTTCTGCTCTCATCTTGCGTGAGTACCATGAGTTATTTACATTTATTTCCATACCTGTTTATGTTTGTAATAAAAACTATGATCAGTAAAAAAATGCTTATGGAAAGAAAGAGGGTTGCTGGTTCTTCCAGTGGATAGTTGGGAAGATTTCTTTAAAGATAAGTTGCTAAAAATTTTTTCTCAAGTTCTGTGTAAATGAGACAACTAAAAGATCAGGGAAAGAAGTTATTCAGTAGTAGGATTCTGTTCTCTAACTGCTCCAAGAATGTCTTTAAAGTGGACTCAGTTGTATTTTAAAGAAACCAAACTGGATATTTCAGACAATGCATTACGGGTGAAGTACAAGTGGGAAAAAAAAAAGGCTTCCCAGGTGGCACTAGTGGTAAAGAATCTGCCTACCAATTCAGAGATGCAAGAGACAAGGGTTCTATCCCTGAGTCAGGAAAACCCCCTTGAATAGGAAATGGCAACCCACTCCAGTATTCTTGCCTGGAAAATTCCATAGAGAGAGGAGCCTGGTTGGCTACAGTCCATAGGGCCACAAAGAGTCGGACATGACTGAGCACACATTGGCAAAAAATCCATCAAACACAACCAATAGACCCAAACTAAATGCAAAGATCTTGGCTCTAACATCAAAAGATTGGCCAACAACTGAACCAAATCTATATGTTTCAAGTCAGAATAGAGTATCTGTGGAGTTCTGTCCCAGGCCACACGTGTGAGGCTTTGCACCAAGGCTGCAGAAGTGGAGCCCAGAGCCAAGGGCACCTCTGAAGCTGACTGAGCCCCTTTGTAACTGTGGCCCCGAATCCCCCCTGATCATCACCAACCAGCTTCCTGACACCAAATTCAGCAAAAATGCCCACCCCATGATCACCCTATCATGCCCTAACCAGTCACCTAAAGCCAAGCCTCCAGCAGGAATCTGCTTTGTCCTGAGGCTATAAAAACTGGCTACTAACCCACGGAAAGTGTCGCTTCTCCCTGTCTATCAGGTTAGTCTGCTGCACTCGCAGAGCCCACATTATCTCTGCTCTGTGTTCTTAATAAACTCACTCCCTTCTGAAAGGCTCTGTGTCTGGAAATTCTTTTCCAAACCACGCTCAGCCTGCCATAAGAGTGTTTAAGGTCTGTAAGTGTAATTTTTTAAAATGATGATTTGCTTTAATTGACTTCTGTGATAATGTGAACATAATATCACTAGCTAAGAGCTGTTCTATGGTCCCATGATTCTGAGCTCCTAAGCTGTATTCATGTCAAAATGGTACGACCACAAAAAACCCCAAATCTTGTCTTTAAGTATAGACTTCTACCCTGGAACACAGACTTATATATCACATATTTGTGATGACAGGGTTCAGACCATGGCTCTTAAATAAAACAAGACTGCAGCAATCAAAGCATGGAAGTAAGAACATTTCAATCTACTGATCTGAGCCGCCTTCCCAGGACTGTACTTGCTCAGGGATGGGGTGGGGTTGACAGTATCACACAAGAACTCAGAAGGCTAAGTTTTAGGCTGAACTCTGGCCTAGCCTGCTGTGTAGACTCAGGCGAGTTCTTTAAACTCCTTGGCTTCCTCTTCTACATCTGAAAAACATGGTGTCTCAGTTCCACCTCCAGCTCTAACCTGCGAGGACTCTGCAATCTGAGCAGTGAACGAACACTGGGGGCTTTCAATGAGAAAGGCACAGCCACTTTCCACGTAACGAGTCCTGCAACCTACAGAGCAATCCTACCAGCAGGCACTGTGCTGCTGTTCCATTTTGAGATGAAGCAGGTGAGGCCCGGTGAGGCCCAGCGAGGCCACTCGTGTGTCTCGGTCACACAGCTGGGAAGACGAAGAGGCAGGATGCGCGGCCAGGCAACTTGTTCCCAATCCCAGATTCTTAAGGTCACATGAGTCATAGGGCTTCTTGTAATATGACAAGTTGACAAAAGACAGGACACAGGTCTACAGAACTGTCATTTTGCAAAATTTCAAGCATCTAAATATCTGTCTGATTAACAAGTCTTTCTCTTTCTGGGTGATCAGCATGGACTTCTGGGATTGAATGTTGCTATGGCAGATAGCAACCAGAAAGACCTTTGTAGCAAATAACATAAGCGTGCACTAGAAACAACGCTTGTTCAGATCAGCAGGGTTCAAGAAACCATCCAACTGGATGTTGATCCGAGCACAATAATGAAAGAACCTGAAGGCAACATCTGTTCTCCCAAAGCGAGGTGATCTGGAAAAGCAGCATAAAACCAACCAAGCCATGCAAGTATAGAAGCAAAGGCTCTCATGTCCTGTGGAACATCCATTCCTGCCTGGACCCAGAGCCACAGTTGGGAGCTTCTCAAACTTTACTGCACATATGAGTCACACTTTGTAAGTGAGGGTGAAAGAGTCTTGATGGTCTCAGTATCTGTAGAACTCAGTTCTGCACCCGTTGATTCTGTGTCCAGGGTAAAGTCTTCTTATCTCAGTTTCATCAAAAAATCTTACCTGGATATTCCCTGAGGGCTCTAAAGTTCAATATTTCTAATGATGACCTTTCTCATTCAACCCTGCACTGAGCTTCTACTTGCAGGATCAATGGGAAAATAAAATGCCCATCTCCCAATCCCCCAAACCCAGATCTCTGCCATGGAAGAGCAGAGGCCCAGGCCTCTTCACATATTTTATGCAAAGATAATGGTGCTCTGTCCACAGGTAACACTGCCCGAAGACAAACAACTTGCAGGAGAGTGAATTACATTCGAGGCTTTCTACTTTGGGCAATATCTCTTTGAGACTCACTTGCCAGGGCAATGGTAGGCTGGTTATAGTATTAAGATGGATCATAACCCAATACTTTCATAGCTTACAGGCAGGGTAGGTATCAGTCATCTAGACGTGCACTAACAGGGTAACCACAGCCATATGCAGCAACTGAAATTCAGTGCATCTGAATTGAAAACATGTATTATATTTTGACAACTTTGTATGAAGAGAAGAATGTAAAATATGTTAACTGATTTTATATTGATTTCATATTAAAATGACCTATTGGGTTACAAAATGGCATACCAGAATTTAAAAAGATACATGCATCCCTATGCTCAGAGCAACATTGCTTACAATAGCCAAGACATGGAACCAATCTAAACGCCCATTGACAGAGGAATGGATAAAGATGTGGTACATTCATACAATCGACGACGACTCAGCCATAGAGAAGAATGAAAGGAGGCCATTTGCAGCCCCATGGATGGACTCAGAGATGATGACACTAGTGAAGTAAGCCAGGCAGGCAAAGATGAATACCATGTGGTATCACTTCTGTGTGGGATATAAAATAACAAAATTAATTTTACCTGTGGATACCAGAAAAAATTAAGCTACATCTGTGGCTCATTATATTTCAGCTGGGTAGTGCTGCTCTAACCCTTTGCTGCTCAAACTGTGATACTCAGACTATCAGCATCAACTGGGAGCTTGTTAGAAAGGAAGAATGTGTCCTCCGCAGACCTACTGAATCAGAATCTGCATTTTTACTAAATCCCAGATGATTCTTGTCTACATTCTGGTTAGAGAGGTTCCTACAACATATCACAGTCAGTGTTCAGGCTGCTGGTATTCATGAGCGACATACTGAAAGGGTATTTTGCTTGTTGAATTTTCTAGCAAGCAATGGAAACTTTCTTTAAAATTTAAATTAAATTATACAATTCAAAATATATATCAAAATGACATTATACATGAAAAACTATGTGCACCACACATGTCCATACAGGAATGGAAGGAGGTTGTTTCATGGAGGATACCTTAGTTATTTCTGGATTTTCAGCCACCATGTACGTGAAACTGATGTTCACCAGATCTGCACCACTGCAGACACAAACTATCCGCCCTTCCAGATCATTTTCTGATTTGCCAAGAGCTTCAAGAGCAGCCAAAATTTTGGGATCCTATAGAGGTAGACAAATAGGAAAAAAATACATTAGATCACAGAGCATAGAAAAAGAAACTACATTTGATGTAAAAACATCCAGTAAGGCAAATTCTTCTACTTAAAAATGTCCAGGTATCTCATGTTATTCTAAAACCCATATAGATAAAACCTATAACATTACACATTATTGGAACTCATCTGGTAAGAAAGGTATAAACAGTTATTGATTTAGAAGATGGGGAGGCAGGGTCTTTCTTTTAATTGTGGCTTGTAGTTACTGGAGGACGTGAACTACGGCATCAGGACTCAAAGGCTCTGCCCGAGACCTGATTATGTCTGCAAAGGTCAAAGGGGGTTCTCACAGAGAACAGTCACTGGGGATTCACACAAACATGCAGGGCATTGCCACCGTCAGCAACCTCAAGTTGTTAAAAAATGAGATTGAGTCTTTCAAACACAAAGAATGGACACAAAGAATGAACACGTGCATCTCTAGGAGCCCTGGCCTCCTCATTTGGAATGAAAACTGTGTAAGTTTGCCCTAGTTAACAAATAAAATAGTGGCTTTGTCCTCTGAAAGGACTCGGGGGGGAAATGCCAAGGTAGTTACACAGAGATTTTAAACTAACATTAAAGAGGGTCACTAACAAAAAACAAAAACAAAGTGAGGAGCATAATTTTGTTTTGAACATCTAAAACCCTGCAAACCTGCAAGACAATTATGGAAAAGGGAATAAATGCTGTGCTGGAATATTCTAGGAAAAAACCATCCTTTAAATTCCTAGCGCAAACAGCTTCCCATTCAAACAAATCAATCCCTGTGAAGGCTTATTCATGTGCTCTGCCATTCTTTTTTTTCTCAGAGGCAAGCAGAGCCTTCAAGGTGAGCGGAGTCTGCGTGCACAGGTGCACAAATATGGAACTACCCGAGTCATCTAAATTTCCACATCAGCCATGGACCAGAAGTGACTCACTCTTTGCTGAAAAAGAAGGTGGGGGTGGGGGGGGAGGGGTGCTTGTCAGATTAATTTCTGAGTTAAGGGAACAGTTTATTTCAATGCTCATACCACACAAGGGTCATCATTTTCAAAGGTTAATAACAATTTCTAATATAATTAAACCCAATGCAATCCAAATCACCCAACCATTAGAGATGAGATTTCTAAACTGTATCTGTTCTTCATCCAGCTGAGGATTTGGGGGCAGTAACGGGCCTCACTGGTGGCTCGGTGGTAAGGAATATGCCTGCAAGGCAGGAGACCAGGTTTCAAGCCCGGGTCGGGAAGGTCCCCTGGAGGAGGAAATGCAACCCACTCCAGGATTCTTGCCTGGGAAATCCCACGGAGGAGGAGACTGCCAGGCTACAGTCCTTCGGGTCAGAAGCACTGAACACGAATGAGCGACTAAACCACAACAAAGGGATCACACAGCAGCCTGTGTCTAGAGGAACAACAAACGCCAAGCTTGGCTACCTTTGGTGTGGCTCCCAGCCGAACACTGTTGATGAGGGAACATTCTAGCACTTGGCCTTCCTGCAAAGAGAGCATACAACACGGCAGTGAGTCTAAATTCTGCCAGACCTATAGCACAGGCAGCTGATTAGCGAACGTTTGTGATGATGAAGGTGATGCTGGTTAGAGTAAGGCAGAAGCAGGAATAGAAACAAGTAATGATAACGATAATAATTTTCAACAATCAAAAATAGTCAAGATATTTTCAAGGCAAACTTTGGTCCATTCCTGTGCGTGAAGTAAAACCAATACACTGACACTGGGTTGTGGTGAAGGAAAGTGCAGTGTTTGCTGCAAGGCTCCAGGCAAGGAGAGCGGGTGGCTCTCGCTCTAAAACACTGAGCTCCCCAAAGCAAAGGGTTTCAGCAAAACAGCTTCAAAGGGCAGCTGAGGCAGGGATATTGCAGGGCATATGATCAGCTAGTGCACATTTCCCTGACTGGTTGATGGGGAGATAACATGGGTGAACATTATTAATCCTGAGGCTCCAGGAGGCTATGTCCTTATGGTCATCAAGTAATTAAATGCTTCCATTGGGTGGGGGCTTTAGGATCTGTGAAATAACTCAGGAAATGTGCATCAGATACGATCTAGGAACTTCAGAGAGGAGCTAAAGCAGAGGATATAGAGGAGGGGTCTCTTCTGGGAAGGCCCCATAGCATCCTGCCTGGTTGCAGAGACCCCAAACATTCCATTCCATATGTATATATATACACACATATATATGCAGAATGCAACTCTGAATAAGTACAAAATGTTACTTTTATATATTTAATATTGTGATTACTGCCATGTATATTATTAAATATGTGTGTACATGAAATATCAGTGGGACTATACTAACTTAAACTCTGATTCTACTTAAACTCTGGTTCACAAAATGTGAATGCTGTGAAATGTGTTAAAGTCTTGGAAAGTGCCCTTAAACGCACCTCTGAGACTTCAGCTTGAATAACTCTCTTCTGGGAAATCTTTCTAGCTCCCAAGATTTAAATCAGACTCGCCTGCTTTTAAGCTCTTGTAACCTGACCTTCTCTTTCTCAGCTCAATGTCTTGTAACTTTCTTTCTTTTGGATGCCCAACTTTGATCCTAGGCTGGAATCTATAAGGATCACATCCTTGATCATTGCTATATCCCCAGCGTCTGGCACACGGAAGCACATTTTAAGTCTTGAATGGATGAATAAGTGTCGGGTCCGTGCCCACAAGGGGCTTTCAGTCACTTGGGGAGAAATGAAACACCTTCACTCTGAGAGCAAGAAGGAGCGACTTGTTTCTGTGCCATACCTTGCCTTCACTTCTCCAGGTCAGAAAGAAGCCAAATTCATCTACTTTGAAGAGGCAGTTGGGTTCAAACACAAAGGATTCCTGTGAAAAAGAAATGTGTTGATCTGCATGACTCACACCATTTTGAATCTAATAAAAATGCAAATATCTTTTAGCATCTAAACAAGAGACAAATGCATCCTGAATCTAGTGACCACATTTCTCATTATATTATGTAACATTTTCATTTTGAAAATTTCTTGCATTCATTTTTGCACTGAAAGACTGATCAGTTTTATACAGCATCTTCCTTTAAGGCAGTTTTAAGAACAAAACACATTAATGCTCTGAAGGTACATAGAGGAGAAGTTTTCTCTAAGATCTCGGGAAAAAGAGCTCCTGGAAAGAAGGACTCCCAGGTGTCAGCCAACTGGTCTCACTCCACACAAGAGGAATTATTGCTGATCTCTAACATAATATCAGAAATCAGGAGATAATTTTTTTTAATCAGTTTTTTTTTTTTTGTCTACAGAATTCAGCATTCAGAGGTTTACTCAGATAACTGCTGAGTTTTCTGCTTTTATATCCAATCTCATTGCATGTTCCATAAACCGGGACTTAAGCAAGACTTTGAGCTACTCAAAGTATAGTCCTGGGAGCAGCAGCATCAGCCTCACTTGGGAGATTGACTGAATTGGCGGAATCTAGGGCTCCAGGCCAGACAGACTGAATCAGAGTCTCTGGGGTGGGAACCAGAAATCTGTGTTCCAACAAGCCCTCCAGGTGATTCTAATACACAGTAAAAATCTAAGAACCACTGCTGTGGACATCAGGATCAGATCAGGATGGAATGTTAGCCAAATGCAGGGGCCCCACAGCAGCTAAGTTGTATTTCCCAAAGGATTCCTGGTCTTTAGCAAGAAAGCACCATTGTTCTTAAAAACTGCAGGCGAGTTCTATGTCAATGAAAGCAAAAGGGCCCCCAGGAAATGAACCCAGATGCCCTCTGCCCTCTGCCTGCATCACACCAAGACTTGGCACTCACATGTCAACAAACCCACCTCTCGTGACCTAAAGAACTTGTCCTCCTAGATGATTAGAACACTGCTACAGGGGGCTGCCTGGCAAACGGGAACGGGGTATGACTTCAAACAAACAGAGAGCAATCACTGGATGAAGATTTTAAGCATAGTCCAGACTCTCAATTCAAAACTTATTTTTCTAAATTTCAAGGAAGTAACAACATTTATTGTTAATGCCAATGTCAATATCAGATTTTAGAGTCCCAGGGGCCCTGAACAAAATTTGTGTAGTTTTCTGACACGTAAAGACTTATCATGTGCAAGCAGTCACCGTAATGAGTAAGATGAAGGAATGGCATTATGTGATCTTTGTTTATGGGATAAAAATCCAGTTCTGCCACTTATTATTTACTTTCTCTTACGAAGACTCTAAGTCTCAGAATCCTTATCTAATAAAAGGAAATATTTACACCTACCTTTTAGGGAATGAAATGAGATGATAAATGCAAAGAACTTTTACATTTTACCATGAATGTGAGTCACATTGCTACACAGTTCAGCAAGTGGTAGCTACCATTCTTCATCCCTGGTTCCAGTTTACATTTGTGGTAGCAAATTATTAACAATGTGAATTTGTCAATATGTAATGTTTTGGACCCACAGAAACACACTTCTGGATGGTTCAGCTTTTTAGGAAAGGTGTGACCCAGAAGTTGACACTTTAGATGGGTCTCAGAGGATGAGCAGAAGCTATCCAGGTGAAGCAGAGTGGCAGATGTGCAGGACTGCTGACAGTAGGGGCTTCGGAGGAGTTGATGTGGTAGGTACATCTTAAGGGGATGGCAGGAGATGAGACTAGACACATAAATAAGGCTAGACTGAAGGTGGGGTACATCATACAAAAAGGTATTAAACGTAACCCAAAAGGTCTTGAATCATTACTGACTGAGAAACGAGAATAATGAAACTATGAGAATGAACACATTGTGAATACTTTCCAAGCAATATCTTAATGTCAATAAAGAATTTCAGTGTTCAAAAGTATGGCCTAAAATGGTGTTTTACAGAGTAGGCCTACAATGAATCAGCTACCATCATTATTTATTTATGTACACCCAAGCCAATTCCAAACAGGGATTTGGAATGATCTAGGAAACATACATGATAAATACGAATGATTTTCCAGCTTATTTTGAGATGGAACTTACAGTTCCTTGGCTTCCTTAACGGCAAAGTGTTTTTCTTTCTTCCTCTCTCAGTTACTTAGTACCCTCTGACTTTACCTGTACTACCTGGGAATTTGGATTCCTAACATCTCACTCTTGGATTATCTGATGCTTTTAACGCCTAGCTCTATAGTCTTCACTCTGTTATAGTAATCTAAGTTCCTACAACTTCCTATTCATTAATCCTGCCCACCCCTCGCTAACCATCAGGCTTCCCTTGCTTTTACTTCCATCCTGTCTAGTTTATTTCCATGGTCCAACATTACAATCACTTCCTCATAGACATCTTGAACTTCTATGTCTCATTTTCTGTTTAAACTAAGTCCATCCTGTCCATTTTTTAACCACTAAATTTGATGGAGAAAATCACAAAACTGGATTGTCTGGCTTTGGTTTAAAGTCAAGATTATAAACTTCAAATGGATAGTCCACATGATTTTCAACCTTATAATTCTTTCTTTTAAAGTTCCCTACTCTGCAAAAGGATTATCTCAGTGCTTCTCAAACTCCTTTACTCCTAGCCAATTACTGAACTTCATTGATTAAATAAAGGAAACTCATCAGATGAGAACTTTCTCCATCCTTCCCCCTAATAAAGTATGCTTTCGCCCATCAAAGGTCAATCCCTCCGCTTCTGCTCCAGATTCAGTCGTCTTCCAGATTCCATCCTCTATCACCTGCACAAGGATTTCAGTCTTCTGTGTATCATCGTCTGATACACATCAAGTTTTCTGGTCGTTCCTATCAGCACACAGATAAGTTCCAGCCATCCCCTCTTACTCCTTCATTTACTCCCTCATGTCTCTGATCCGTTTTAACTCTTCATAGTATCTTGAAGAGTTTGTCTCTAGCCACTGTCTCTTCTATTTCTCTTCCATACCATCTCTGACCAGTTCCATATGCCTTCTGTTCCTCCCACTTGCTAACACTTTTCTGCCAGGTTCACCATGACTCACTTTCATGCTGCCATATGCAAGGCAAACTTTGATTTGCTCTTCTAACATGTTCAACATAACAACTTCTTACATGATCTGCAGAAGTCGGCTCTGGGGATTGTTATTTCTACTATGTTCCAAGACCCCCTTGAATGCTAGAGCTTTAACACCATCTACTTCTTGATGACTCGCAAATTTGTAGTAGTGGCCCCAGCCTCTCTGGGTTCTCAGTTCAGACAGCTAACTCTCTTCTTGACTTCTTCACATGAATGTCTCTAAATTAATGCATCCATAACCAAATTCTTTATTCCTCACCCTCTTTCCCCAAGCCTTTCCATCACAAGACATTCTGGGCTCAATACTTGTCACTAGTGTCCTGATTTACTGAAACTACAATCATCTTGACTTTCCGTTAAGAAGTCCATTTTCATAGCATCCATCCCCACCACCACCAACACCACCTTGGTCCAGAGTATCACCATCTTTTTCATAGATTAATCAACTCATTTCTACTCTTTCCTTCACAGCAGCCAGATTGATTCTTCAAACAGTGAAGCCATTTAATAGATCCCCATCATATTTAGGATAAAATCCCAACTCCTAGCGTGGGCTAAAAGGTCCTATATAATCTGGGTCTTAGAGACCTGATCTCACATCATTCTCTGTCTTTGTTTTCCGTCTTTTTCACTACACCCATCAGTACTCTTTTCCTTAAGAGTACTTCTTAAGCTATTCTAGCCTCAGGGTCTTTGCATTGGCTGTTTCTCCTTCCTAGAAGTCTCTTCCTAGAAGTCTTTAGCTTCTCCATCCTACAGGGCTCACCTTAACTTTCCCCTCTTCAGAGGGGACATTTCCTTGACCTCCCTAATAGGTTTGTCATTTTATTTTCTAAAATAGCATCTTGGTTATTTCTTTGCAACTAACACAGATTATTTCCTTGCAACTAACACAGTCTGCAGTTATTTCTTTATTATTCAGGGCTGGGTTCCTACACCAGTTTAACCTCCATGAGGGCAGAATCCTTGAAACCTTCTTGTTCACATTTGTGCTCCAAGCAGCTAGCACATCAAACGCATGCTGAAAGTAAATTTATGCACCAACATTTAAACGAATCAGTTTTTTTCAAAGACACTTCACAGTGGGCCAGCGTATAAAATGTAAGCCAGAAACCACGCAAGCTGAGGGGGTTACACCAGGCCCCCATAAGGGTGAGTCTCTGGTGACCTCCCACGAACAGACAAACAAACGTAAGGCCACCATCGCTTAGGCTGCCTGCCTGGAGGAGGCAGAAGCTTTTTCTAATTCATCAAGCTCATCTTAGAGGTTGGCTATGGTTTTGAGGTGCCTCCTAGGAATCCCTTTCAGAACAGGAGAACTGCCTGAATGCCCCTACAAAGAGACTATTTTCAAAATGGGATAAGAACCACAGGCAAGGAGAAGAAAAATAAAGCAAAATAATACTTTGTCCTTGCAAAATAAGGACAAAGTAAAAGATGAGTTTTCAGAAATTTTTGTTAAAAGGTCCTACACAGTGAGAATAAGATGCCTCATTAGCTCTGGGCTCCCTAGCAACAAAAGCAAAAGGGGAAAATATAATTTGCCAGGTGCCTATATAGTTCATAGATAAAAATATCAGATGTCGGGAGAATCAACTGCCAGAATAGAAATTCTCTAGTGAGACACTTAAGGAGCACCAGCAGATGCTAACAACAAGGTTTCCAACAAAACCCACAAAAAGCTTGTGCTGTGACTGGAACATTCTTGGACCAAATGGGTTGAAAGTATCCATGAAAATGAGAGCGCAAATCTGAGGGGGTATGTGACAATAGGCTGAAAGGAACTGAAGCCCAATTCATTTAGATTTCTCTGCACCTTGCACTAACAGAACAACCAGACCTGCAGTGAGCAAAGGCACCCAA